CCCGTGGCTCTGGCTTGTTCTGCTGGGACAATCAGATTGCGATCTTGGGAATTTGGTAGCAGGGTGCACTATCCTGCTAAAGAGAGGCTGCTGCAGCCGGGGAGAGCCCATGCTGTTAAGGGTGTGCTTGGTCTGCAAAAATGCTCAAGCCGGCAACAAGTGTCAGAGCCGCATTCATATGAATGGCAGGACCCAGTATTTCCCAGCAGTGTTACATTGTGAGGAGATTATTTTGATAATTTGATGTCGTGGTTTTAATATCGTGAGTAACTGGCATATTTATTACGAGTTTTTTTTTGCTGTCTGCATAAAGGCTCACAAATTAAATGCCGGCACACACAATTCAAGTACAAGGCCGATGCAAACAACAACAACAACAACAACACATCACGTGACTTTACTGTTAAGTCCGTGGCGTATGTGTAGTTAGAGTCGGGCCTTCCCATGTCGCCAGGAAGCCCAAACTGTAGCTTCACCCTTAAGTTATGGGGGAGGGGGGTTGGGCTTGTAGTTTGACGTCCCTGCCCCCTTTTCTGTAAACTTTGCAAAGAGTGAGCCGCCATTAAAAGCGGTTACAGTACGATGGAGTTTATAATGATAGGTACGGGCTGGATTGAAATAACGGGCGCTTAAAAGTTATTTAAAAATAACGACACAGTAGTGACGTATAAACCTCACAGTCGCAACCGTTAAAACGTAATAACAGCACATGAAAATGGCGTAAAATGTCAAAACTTTAAAGTCACACAGCTTGCAGATATGCTAACATTACGTGGGCGATATTATCTTGAGCGGTAACTCGGGTATATGAAGGGACTTTACCGGCTAATGGAGTCGTGCGCACACGCGTAAAACATCTCAACTGCACTTACTTTTTCCACGTCGTGCAACAGCCGACCACCCAGAGACAGCCCGTTCCCTTTTAGAGGGGTCCTCTCGCTTTTAATCTCCGCCGCCGAGCCGCCGTCCATTACGTTTTTGTACGGCACGGCCCCGTTTGTGTACGCCGACATGGAACCGGTTTTTTCCACCGAGGGGACCCGGGTGTCGCGGAGCACCGAGCGGCCGGTCCGACAGTTAAAGTCCGCACCGCCAGCTCCTGTCCCAACCGACGACTTCTCCACAATATATTTGGACTCCATATTCAGACAAGGCGAGCAGGAGAAAGAAAACCAGCTTTCTAGAAATTTTAGTGCAAATTGCTGGAGTCAGATACATTTATTAGGACTGTCGCAAGTTGATGGGAACTGTCTGTGTCTTTACTTATATCCTAGCCTACATGTAAAGTTTTCCACCACTGCCGCCACCGCCGCTGCCCCAAAAAGCCGCCCGGTCAGGAGGATAAAAGATTGTTTTGCCTCTTTCCTCCAAACGGCTGCCACGCCCCCTCTGCTCCACTCCTATTGGCGCTCTGCATATATAAACATTACATTCTGGCACGCGTCCACCGCAAAGCTGCAGGTGATTGGCTAGTTTCACTCTGTCAATAACATTTTTTTTCGAAGCCAAGTACTGTGGGTGGAAGAGCGAGAGAGGGGCGTGTTCTCAGTTTACCGGCCGGTGTCTGTCGACGCTGAGCCGGTCTGCTAGAGAGGCGAGGTCGAGAGAGTACAGGAAAAACAGCGTGCAGGCCTCAGCGGCTAACTGCGCATTTATAATTTTGCAATTCAAATGGCACTTTAGCGAATTGCAAACTATTACACCTGAACTTCTCATTGTAGGCGAGTTATTATAGAAAAAATGCATACACTGCTTTCTCCTTATAAGTGACAGGGCCTGCATTATTGGAGAAATGTACGCTAATTCAAAAGTTAGCATTTTGGAAAACTAACACCGCCCGGACACAGTAGCATGAAACACTGCAACTCACTGCAGTAAATAAGGTCATTTGCAGAAGCAAGGTACAGATTTATGGTGATTAATTCAAATCTGCGTAAGCTTGACTTGCACTGCATTGCACGAGAGGTTTCAGGTCATATTTCACTCATTCCTCTATTTTTATATGTCTGCTTCCTTTTTATAAAATGCCTTTTGAGTGTGATCGGAAAGGGGAAAAAAAGATTTCAGCAACCTTTCTTCATTTAGCATAGCTCCTATTATTGAATGATACAGTACACCTCCCAGCTGTTCCTGCTGTATTGCTTAATTTCTCACACAAAAAAGCATTTTCTTGTAAGCTGCACTTTCAAATGAGAGGCCGCTGCAGAGCAGGAACCAGGTGTAGTTTGAAAGCTGTCACAAAGCAATGAAACTACAGGCAAAACAAATACTTTCTGATGTGCCACTTTATTAGAAAAGTAAAAACTCACTTTAATATTTTATGAAGGTTAATATAAAACATTACAATCTTCTGCATACAGTATCTGCACTGTCACACTATATTTTAATATATGAATTATTTTGAAACTAAAACCTGTGCTTTAGGAACATACAACATTGGCTACAGCTGTCACAGCAGTATTGGCCCATATTTATATAAGAAGACAATTAAGAAACAGGGTCTGTATCTGCATGGAAAGCATGAAAGATTTTGCATCCACAAAGTACAATGTGTCTGTGACAACCATCTCTTTTTTTTTTTTTCAACAAATGTATACTGTATGTTACATTGCAACAACATCAGAACAGCAACAGTGTATTTTACACATTTACATCAGCATACTGTATTTGTGCAATGAACATCTGTCTCGATGTGTGTATAACAACCAAACATATCCATCAGTGCTTTTTTTCCCCTCTCTGGATAAAGGAAATGTGACACATTAGGTGACAGCCAAAGAAAAAGGATTAAGTGCGATAACGGCTTCCAGGAGGCATTGTTTAAGGGAAGCTTCAGCGGAGCTTGTTAAGCGTCTCAGCTGTTGGCCATTTCTCACATTAGACAATAGTTGAGCCGAGGGTGCATTGTTGATATCAGACTGGGGTTGGCGTGACCCACAGCCTCTGCCCCCTTCCTCAACCTCCATTTCGCTCCCAGTCCCTCAGAATAGCACATCAAACACCTCACCTGCACAGCGAGGGAGGAAGGTGAAGCTAAGGAAAAAGAGGTCTGTATTATAGAATGAACACAGCTGGAAAAGGGAGCATTATGCAAGAGCTGACCAAATGTAAGCAAAATGTGCTTCCTCCCCTAAACTGGAGAAGCACATGGTTGAATGTTGCTCTCTGTGCACACACTAGAGGAGAAAGAGGAGGAGTGTCCTGTGGGTCTGTGTCCATTTGCAGTGAGCCTCATCCAGCTTTATACTGTGTGTGCACCCTCACCCCCCACCCCCTCAACATGACACTTTCTTGCTCCCCCAGAGCAGAGAATAAACACAGCTCTACCCTAAACTCCCAGCGGCTCCTCCCTGTTAGCTCTCTTGCTCTGCTTTGCTCCTCCAAGTTGTTGCTTTGGAAAAACTGCTTTGAGTCACATGGCAAAAAAGAAAAACAAAAGTACAACAGAAAAGATTAACAAACAAGATCAGTTAAGTACCACAATATTTTTCATTTCGATATATTAAAGCATGCACTTTTTTTTTTTTTGACCAAGCAGGAAATATTGCACCAACAACATAAACATACTGTTTTTATGGCAGTGGTATGAGCTATTCAACCAATAGAATTGTCAGTAGGTAAGAAAAAATAAACAGTGCTTTAAAATACAGAGTGCATTTGTTTTTACATACTTTCTGACATTATTAATTTAATTTACTAACCTTACTAAACCTGTCTTCTCTCTGCATTTGGTCTCACAGTGAGATCAAATACATCTTTTTACTCTCAGCCAGCGAGCATGTTTGTATCCCTCTTCACTTCATATCTTTATGCCCATTTATTAAGCCTCAAATATTTTGTTTTTCCCCCTCTGTTCCTTTTTTTTTCTTCAATGTTTCCCCACAGCTACATGGGAAAGACATTGTTTTTAATGGAAGCAAACTCAGGACAGAGGCTGGAGACATGGGTGGGGAGAGGGGCAACCTTCCAAAAGACACTCGCTGGTCATTTTTATGCCCAGCTCTTTATTTTCCTTGGAGTCCAAGACTTCTGTTGCTATTTCAACCACAAGACTTAAATCTGGTAAGCTACCGGGAGCTCTGGGTTTAACTTAAGTCCAGAAAACGAATCAGAGCTGTGCTCTTTACGGCACAATAATGCACAAATAAGCCCAGCAGTCCTGCAGCTGTCCAGCGCTAAATTACAATGGTCATAAAATCAGATGTTTACAGTTGCCCAAAAGATATGACATTAACTGCGCATGATGAAGCATCCTGTATTATTTTGGACACTCTTTCACTTCCTCTTTTTTTTGAAAATATTTTTCTCTCTGTATTCACAATAATACTGTAAAAGTCTTGCATTGTGAAATCTATCATCCATATCACTCTTGGGAGATTCTTGCACAAGCCATTCAATACCCCTGACCTGATCACTTTTCCCCGCATCACTGCCAAATATGTGTGCATGTGTGGGTGTGTGTGTTGGGGTGTGTCAACATGCCTCTAGCTACAGATGTCAAATTTAGGTGGATTTTTAGCAAATCTCTTCATTCAAGTGGAGGTTACACTATCGAGCCAAACATATGCGTCGTGATTATTAAGTGGGCTGTTACTAAAAACTGCTAAAAAGCTTGGGTTGGATCATTTCTGAGGACAACATCCTTCACATTTAAACAGGTCTACAAATCATAAGCCAGTATTTGAACACAACACCTCAATCGCGTCTTCCAGGCAACAGGTCGGCGCACAATGAAAACCTGTTTCGAGTGTTTATTTTAGGGAGAGATAGCACCGCAAATCTCTGTGACATCCATGTGCTTAAAAGGAGGCGTGTACATGTGTCTTTGTGTGTTTGTGTGTGTATACTGTGGACAATACGTTACAGTGTGCCTCACATTCCTTGTACAATATAGCCAGTTTCACTGCTACTACTATTTTTATCTGTTTTTAGTTGCACAATGCATGCACATTTCTTTATATTATATTTTATTATACTCAGGACAGAGTATAATATATATATATATATATATAAAAAAGTGTGTTCTTCTGAGGTTGTGAGTTACACCACATACGCTTTAAAGAGTTTTCATATAAAAATAAAGATATTATGGAAAATGTTGCACAAACAGGTGAGTATGGTGAGTGACACAGCAGATAGAAGATCTCTATCCCAGTTTTATTTGTTTGTTTGTTTTTTCAAATGATTTTAGTCCATATTTGGGCTGGACTAGGCTTAGGCTGGTTCTTAAGTACAGACCAATCAAAGGAAGTCTGAACCTGGATAAAGACCCTGTTTGTACCTGATTTCAACACAAAATGGATCCTCGTGTTGTTTTACTATAGAGGGCCTTGTGTCTATGTACAGCAACCTGTTGTTCTGTAAACAGGAAAATCTCCAGACTCTATACCAGTGGGTTCTGGGCCCTTTTGCCTGTCAGTCAGCTACAGGCCTGTGACATACATCTCCATGCCATCATTGAAAGTAAAGATGGTGGTAGTGCTGTTGCCCCCTTGTTTCACATCACTGATGGTCTCATAGAAGTTTTCCCCACCAGGCAGGCCTCTAGTAGGAAGGGTGCTTGGTCCTGAGGCCTGAGGTGCTGCTGGTGTTGCCTGCTGCTGCTGCTGCTTCTTTCTCTTCAGAGTGGCACTACCCCCAGCTGTGCTGTTATTGGTTCCCCCTTGCTCACGTTTCCGGTGTGGGTCGATAGTCGCGTATGCAGGGTCTGACTCAGCCACTGGGGAAGACCAGGACCTGTCTCCTACAGGCTCGTAGCAGGGTTCCTCCTGCGAACGTGCTTGGCTCTGGACTCCCCTACCTCGGCCCCGAGAACCCATGTTTCCTCTATCTCCACCAAAGGATCGTGGGAGGGTCTTGGCTCCATTGTGTTCCATAGGAGGTTTCTTTTTCTGGGTTTTACATACGATAGAGTAGGTGTCTGCAATCTGAGAACACACACAGTAGGAGAAGGAAGATGTTGTTAGTTAATAACGCTGAGCTACAACTCTATCCTGTAGTCCACTGATAACAGCTCCTTAAATAGAAGCTATGTATTGGTGAAAGTCTGTAACCACACTTGCACTGGCATTTAAATAGTCACCTCTTTCCCAGTTTCTGAGTTATCTATATGTAGCTCCAATATTTTTGTAATTACCCATTTTTGTCCACTTCTGTATGTACTCCAGATATAAAGGTATAATTTGTGAATAAGTCGTTACATATATACTCCAGGCTCAGACAAATAATAATTGTCTGAGCCTGGACTGTGTACGTATGCAACAGTTTGTGTATGTGTTGACAGAGCTCTGCACTGTGACCTGACCTATCTTTTTTTTTTTTAACAGGGCAGGATAAGAAAGAGCAAACTATGTTATCAGTCCGTTAAGTTCTAGGCCGAGAGGCAGCATTAACTGTGCAGTGGATGAACCTGTTAAAGTTTCACCACGACTGCTTTGGCAACAGAAGTATAGTGTGAAAGAGCTGGATCACAGCCAACTTGCAAAAAAAAATGTAAAAAAATAAAAAAGCTTTGTGCTCATTAATGGACTTTGTTCTCGTCTTATTTGCTTATGTGCATTTTTTTTTCGTGCTCTGCATGTGCGTGCAGCATGACTGCATATGCAGTATGAGTGAGCTCATACTGCATATGCAGATGTCCGAATGAGAAAATCGGACATCTAGAATTTGCCACTTAAGGCCATGTGTGAAGTCTTATGCAATTTTGACACAGAAATACCAGAGGTCACGACACTGGTTTATCAGAATTCCCCACAATAGAAGCATAAGAGCAGAGGATTGTGGGACATGGTCTTGTTTACCTTCCGTGTTCACACCCAGGCCAGCAGCTCTGATCTACTGGCCCTGAGAAACACTGGCTATGCAAACTCTTGTGTCCACCCCCACACACAAACACACACAAACACACACACAAAGACACGTACACGCTCACACGCGGAGCAAGATTAGTCTTGTTTTTGTGCACTCCCAAACAACTGAAACCTGAGAACACACAGACAGTGCTCTTTGTGCGTGTGCTCACCTTGCCTTTATATGTCTTACATATTTACCGTCCCTTTGAAATACACTTTAAGTGCAAATCACTTTCAATGTCTGTAAATCTTTCTCTCTCTCCTCTGTTTGTTGGTTCTATCTCTGAGAGATTTCAAGCGATGCACACTCCCTCCCCCCACAAATCTCTTTTGTGACCTTTTTGGATAAACAAAGACCCTAGCGTATGGTGTAAGTGTGTGCAGCCAATGTGGTGTGTGTGTGTGTGTGCCTGTGTGTGTGTATGTGCAAGCGTATGCACACGTGTGCACACAGAATTTGCAGCTCTGCTGCAGAGGAAGGAAGTCACAAGATGATGGGGATTTCAAAACTGGGCTTCGTATCTGCAGCTGTTGAGGAAGCCTGCACATTGTATGTTTTCTTTTCTCCTTCCTCACCCAGTACCCCTTTTTGTTATGTTTCTGGCATTGCTTGAACACTCTGCTTAGACCGAGGCTTCGCTAAGTCACAAATTTATTTTCTGCATTTGCTGATTTGCAGTGGAAACAGCCATATGCATGATGCATCTGTGTGTGATCAACTTTATGAATAGCAGATATGGCGCAAGTTTCCAAACAGTCTTCTAGCAGTTGATATTCATCTGGTAAGACATGTTTCATGCAATGTGATTGGTTGGGGAAGGCAGCGCCTCCTAATAGCCACAAATGGAGTGGAGCAGAAGAAGAGAGCGCCAGAAAAGAGGAAAAGATTTAGTCGGGAGTGGAAATCCAACACCTTTCAACGACTGTAACTGACAAACTCTAGAGGATACAAAGTATATGGGCATGTTAGGGCAACTGAAAACAGAAAAACAGCCGCTAAAAAGAGAGAAAAGCCGGAAAAAAAAAAAAAAAAAGAAAAGAAAAAGAGATAGCAGGATGCATTCAAGGCCAGCTGCTGTGTGTATCAGTCTGAATTGCAAAAAGAGGAGGTAAAGTGAAGCCAAACGGTGGAGACGTAACCTCTTCGTCTCCACATACAGCATTCAACAGCATTGTGTGGCTCAACACAGGCGTAGACAAGAAACTTAGCAGTAGCTTTAAACTTGTCAGGACAGCTGCTCTACTGTTCTGAACATGCCTACAGATAAACAATATGGATACAACCATACTTTTTTTTTGGTTCACCCTTTTTTCCTCATCCTTAATGCAAGAAAGTTTTATTTTGTTGTCAAAATTAAGAAACTATTACTGCACAGAAACTATCCCTGGCCTGTTGAAGATGATAGAAAAGATTGGTGAATGGAATGGAAAAAGAGAAGTTGTGTTAAACACAGACTAATTATAGACAGGGGTCTATTTCGGGGATGCCTGTCCATCTAGCTGGACTGATTCCCCCAGCCCCTCGGGCATAACAGAATTTCCTACGCAACTTGCAATTCTCTCAGCACTTCATTCTGTATCCAGCAGAGAGAAAAGATGAGACAGGGGACCGAGAGTGGAAAAGTGGGGGTGGCGTTGCGCTGCACAGAAACGCATGCGGTGGAGTATCTGACATGACTGGCAAAGTGCAGGTTTCCTCCTTCCCCCACCAGACATATGCTGACATATATATACATCCCAGTCGAGGTCATGGTCTTGGATTGATGAAGCGAAAAAAACCCGAGCATATAACAAGCATCTCTATGAATGTGAAGAGATAATTAATTATTTCAGGGCAAGCAATACTCATGTCTGATCTGTCTGCTCATACTTTCAAGTCAGATAGATGAGTGGGGGGAGGGGCTGGAGATTAGGGTCAGGGTTCACGCAAGCAGGGTGTTGGATCCATGTCACGTAACCTTTGCCTGTAAGCAGAAACCTTGTATGACAGGCAGGTCACAGGGCAGCAGTACTATGACGGCATGCCATATCAGATGGGCGCCCCCTTCGGTAAACACAGCAGTAATCAGAAACCTGTCTATCTATCCATCTTCTTGCTACTTTTTAGTAGTCCCTCCCTCAGCTCCCACCACATACACAGACACACATACTACCTCCTTTGCAGTTGGAGGCGATGGGTGTCCCTGTTCATTCTCCCCAGGTGGGTGATGTGGAGGTGGGTGCAAGGTGATGATGTCGTTGTCCTCTGGAGGCTTCCAGATGTACTGTTCCCCATTGCCCATGAACACTGCTTCCTGTTAGGAAAATCAAAGTAAGAGCTGAGGCAAATATTGCATTTACAATCTTTAAGCGCTGCAAAAAGTACATCTCACAACATGTAACAAATAACAGGCTTTTGAAAAACAATTCTATTTCAAAATAAGCTGTATAGTTATTTTTGAAAAATGCTTTAGAGGTGTGAACTAGTGCCAAGCAATGGATTCTATCTGGAGTGAGTTAATCAGTTTCTCCTTGTTGTATGGCCAACTCTTCCACAAGCTTTTATGCAAATCCCTTCAGTCAAAGACATCCTGCTGACAGACAGGCAGAACCACTGACAACACAGACAATGCCTCCGAAAACACAACCTCCATTTAACTCTGCCGGTAGAGGCAATTTTAGCAAGAGTTTAGGGAAAACAGCTAAGAAAAATCTGTGTTTTACAAAATTACAGGACCTTCTTAAACTTCAATTCCTACAACTGAATTCACAGTTGCATAGATTCGATCAAATTATGTGAACAATGCCATTCTATTTGTTTCTATGCTAAGAAACAAAAGACGCGTGGGAGACTAACACTAAAATGGACGCAGTAACTACTGGTGATGAAAAACCAATTAGAAATCATGTAGTGGTGTGTACACATGTGATCAAGGATGATTAAACTTTTATACGTTCCTCCTGTTCCTCAGTCAGAGTGAGTAATAGAGGCCTGGGCAGAGTAAATGGCTTCAATATGTGAACAATATTTATTCCCACTCTGGCTGCTGGCTACCTGTTAGCCGTTTCTAGAGAGACTTGCTGATAGATTCAACAGGACATATATATATACACACACATACACACAAAGCTGGGCAGCCCGCCAAACTCTTGCATAATCTATCTTTCCACCCTTTACTCAATATTACTGCGCTGCACAGCAAAGTGCAAAGGAGGGAAAGAGTCACACATGCACATGTATTTTTTAAACAACCGTAAACAAATCTCCTTAAAAACACAGTAATAGCCATCCCCATGCTCATAGGTGCTTATGAATACATCCCAACTGGCACATGCAACAATTTTGATAAAACAAATACAATTAAGATAGGATACAAAACAATAAAAACAGAACTTATTGAGGTCAGTGATGTGGTGAATGTGATCACTTCTGCTGTTGTTTAAATTTTTTTTAGCAATCCAAGAATACTAATCTTCAATCGGATTTTAGAAAGCTGTTTGTTTGTGGACGGTGCCCCCTGGTGGTAATCAGACAGCCTTACAGTTTGGAGAAGTGGGTGGATAGTTGGACGTTATGATGGGTCGCATAGAACATTCTGATTCAATAATTTCTCTACCTTTGGGAAGGAGTGAAGGTGAAATGGCTCCAGTTGTTTCCGTGGAAACTCTTGACTGCGATGTAGTGGAGGAGGACCAGCAGAGGGTGAATCGCTCACGCTCGATTGGCTGTCTGACTGGCTGTCGGCGCCGTTGTTTTCCTTCCTGTTTATCTTGTCAACCTTGAGGTTTTGAATCATCATTGAAAACGTTATATGCAGTTTTAATACAAAGGTTTAATATAATAGACGATTTTAAAAAGCAGTGTAAAAGATTGAAAGCAAACTTCTTTACTCAATGAATTACACCAATTTTTAGTCAGTGTGTTTTCTTACTTGCACAACCTCCACTACTTAACATTACTACAGTGCGATACTTTAACCACCACTGATCATATCACTAACAATCTGCTACCCTTTTTCCTGACTGATTAGTGTCACGCAAACACATACTTCTGTAGAGACAACATCGTGTGACATGACAAAAACATCACCTATCACCTAGTACCCACCGTAAATACATAAAAAAAAAAGTTTCCATTAGTCACAGTAGGTAACAAGATACATGAATGTACAGCTGAATCTGTGTCCTTTTATTACCTCAGGTTGGGCTTGCTGGAAGTTTTAAAGTGAATGCAGGTAAATGATTAAAGATTTACTCCTTATCCTAAACTGACTTAGAATAGTTCCCTACTCATAGCTTTAATGAGGTAAACGCCACCTCTTTAATTTTAAAAGATACCAGCTTAAAACACTGATGAAAACAAATCAATGTAATTACCTTTCTAAACTTTCGTATAGATGCATACTCGGCTAAAGATGGATCTTGAACAGCCAAGGAATTCACAGAAGAGAGAGGTGACCTACTGACCCCACTTGCTCCATTACCTCGTCCCGTCATTGGTCCATTAATAGTGTCATTCCCTCTGCCACCCTGGGAGTAAAAATAAATAAAATGGGAACAGAGAAAACATGTAAGCATTGCCTAAAATTATTAGCGTCAACCATCCAAAAACACACACAGACACACAAAAATTACATGCAAAGCACCCTAAGCTAATGTTGCATGAACAAGGCAATGATGCAAGCCATCTATATGCAAACAAACAGCGATTTTTGTTGTAATATTGATTCTTGTGCGGCACATTTTATTTCACGTGACTAATAGCTGCTGTTAAACTGTTTAGTGCATGTACCTCCCCAGATGTTTTTCGGAGAAATGTAAATGAATGCATGATTGCTCGTGAGCAAGTTGCAGCTATTTAAAATGCATGTACGTACGTTTCCGTGCCCGTTTCCAGTCCGAGCTCCGCTGGCATGAGTAGAGGGACTTTGAGGAGCCCTGGCTATACCTGGAGCGTTGGCTGATGTGGTTGGTGGGCCAGAGGGTACTTTTGGGCCTTCCCGGACACCTACGCTTTCATATAGGCCATCATCCAGGTAGTGGGTAGGGGTGGGGTTATTGCGTAGGCCCACCTCAGTGTAGGTGTGATCTCTTGCTTCGCCTCCTCCTCCTCCACCGCCTCCCCCTTCCCCTCCCGTTTCCCCTTCTCCCCCCTGGCCAGATCTCTGTGGACTGGTGGGGATCTGGGGGAGCTGTCGGCCGTGGGAGGGCCTCAGATCCGTCTGGGAGCGGCGACTGTGGAGAAGCAGGAGGTCCATACTAGCTGGACGGCTCTTACTAACAGCTGCGCAAAAGAGAAAGATGAGGGAGAAGCGGAAGGAGATGGTTGTGTCAGGGCTGAAACAGTGTAACGGCTTATTGTAGTATATCATTTATTGTCACTTAAGAGCTGTTAGCCACCACTTACAGTTTCCATTGCAGGGAAAGCGATTGATCTCATGGAGCCTGGTGTCAGATTTACTCATGGAGTTGAGTTTTGGGTGGCGAAGGGTACCCTGCTGTCGTGCACACACTGACTTGTTAATACAGACGTAAAACATGCAAACGTATGCATGTGCATCTGTACTTAGCTTAGAAGAAAAAGAGCAGTGGCAGATAGAGAAATGGAGAGAGGAAACGAAGAAGGGAGGAAAAGATAGAATAATGAAAAGATGTCTCACCATATTTACAGATGTCCCTTTCTCCCCGGCCGGAGGGTGCTTGCTTTTGCTTTTCCTGACACAAAATCAAAGTGAAGAAGGTCAACAGAAGCCAGCGGACAGAAAGAGAATATACACACACTCAGAGCAGATAGATACTATCAGCATCCAACTCTGGTTAGGGCATAAAAGTCCTCGGTTGATAACAAGAGCCCAGTAAAACATTGAACGAGCGTGACTCAGGCTTTTTTGCCAAAGTGGAGAATGACCTTCACTGCAATTTGTTTTTCAAGATAAGAGCAAGCAAGCTCACAATTATTAATATGTTGTTTGCTTTGTGCCGATTCTCTTTGCAATTTCACGTCACTTTCCTCTAGCATTAACCTCGTGAAGCAAATGTATGGAGTGCACTGTGGATCCCTGGAGGCTGTATCTATAGGAAACAGTTGATATGGCTGAGAGTGTGACGAGAAGACAAGAGCTCCTAGGTGCAGGTGCAAATGTGACAACAGTTCTACCCCCATCTCTGAGATCTGAGCTCTTACTGCTGTGCTGCAAAACAGAGCGCTGCAAACAGGTGCAGAAACCATACACTGCACCTTCTTATTATGCAAGTCGCTTAAAATAAATCTGAATATAAAAGGTGCCACGGGAAGTTGTGGCAGATCCATGTCACTGGAGCTAGATATTATCTCCTCTAGTAAGCTGGAAATCTTTTGTTCAAACATATGGCCATCATTGCCCAAGGAAACCATGAGAAGAGAGCTCCCCTTGGAGCTTTTCATAATAACATGGCACAGCAGAAGGGTTTAAGGTAAAAATGACGTAAAGGCATAAAGTCAGATCCACTGCAATCTTTGGAATTTAAAAGAACCTTAAAATCAGAAGCTTACATCTTCTTTACAATTTAACACTACTGCAGTTATGTTTTCATAAAACAAACTAGATTCTCTCCACATGCTTGTCTTTGTATACCATAGCAACAAAACTGCAGTGCCTCTGATTGGTCTCTGAGGGCTCGGCAAAAAAGTCATAGGCTGTTCCATTGCTCCTGCCTGGCTCAGAGTCTAATCCTTTGTAAACCGTGGGGTGTCCCATTGCTTTTGCCTGCTGAGTAGTTTGCTGGAGAGGGATGACGTGATCCTGCTCTGACTCTGGCCTGTCTCGTCAGTGTCCTGTAAACATCATTTCATCTGATCCGACACTCGCAGCCATTAACATTCATTAGCGCCACTCTGCTCAAAGCAGGGGATAAATGAGATGGAGAGGAAGGATGTAGAAGTGAAAAGAAAGGAAGGAGGAGAAGAGTTCAGAAGAAGCGGAGACACATAAAAGAAAGAGGGGATAGTGAGATTAATTTGGGAGGGCACTAAAGCAAGAAGCTGCAAAGATCATAAAACTGGCCGTTCATCATTTTATTCCCCGGCCTACTTATACCACATTTCAATGTCACGTGACCACAAATCATACCTTTGGCAGCCGACGCAGACAAGGACGATCAGGATGGTGACCACGAAAGCAGACGCTGCTGCAATGGCTCCCAGTAGAAGCAGGTTTTGGTAGGTAAGGTTGTCTTGAGATCCTCCTTGTCTTTCCATGACACCCACTCCGTTTTGCTCACTTCCTTACTCAAGCTTTAACTGTTCCGCTCAGACCGTCTGCTAAGGAAAACCTGCAAAGATAGAGGAGAAGGATAAAGCACGCTATACAACATATGAGTGACACGAGAGATAAGAAAGCAAAATGCTGCCTAGAACAAGGTGAAAAAATGTGCGTGTGTGTTTGTGTGTGTGCTCCTGGTTTGCCTCTGGCTCTTTGTCACTGTCTCATTCTGACATATCAGTTTCTATTTTTGACTCAGTCGAATAATGCACAGAAAATAGAACACCCTACAAAGCAGCGGCTACGAGCACGCCAAAAACTGTTTCATCACATTCTTTCTTTTTGCTGTTAAAAAAAGATCAAATGATACCGTAACATTCATTTGACTAGCCAGAGAGATTCTTGCAGTTAGTTTAACAGGAAAAACCAACTGAGCTCCCAAGAGTGTGGCCTCACTGACAGAAGGACCAGGCTCGCTGCTGCTACACTCCATTTGCCTGCAGAATTCTTTTTCTCATATCACAAGTGGCTCAAACACTGACGAGCAAAATGTTTCAGTTTTAATAATGAAGTGTACGACATACAAGGTAGGATTTTCACTTCAGGTCTTTTTATATAATTTCCTTCACAAACATACTCAATTCGATTTACATAAGCCTTAAATGAGATTAGTTTTCCAAAATGTGCTGCCTACTATTAGGTTAAAATGCATTAATATCAGCATATTATTAAGTATAGTACATCAACAAGGTTGCAGTAATGACCAATTTTTATAATAAATTGAGTATTTTACAAACTAGGCTGAATTTATTTTATACCTGTGCATTTGTGGGAGTATGGTACTTCTATTTGAAAGGTGTCGGGGAGAAACAAACATCACGGTGAGATGAGTCAGATATTTCAGTGCTTTTACCCTGTCTGTTTTCTAATGCTGTATATTTAGGTTCAGCCAAAGTGACAATCGAGGAAAATGATCAGTGAAATTACAGCAAGCTGATATAACCTACTTTCCGTATGCTCTATTAAGGATACTGATACGCTAACTATTTAATTACGCTAATGATCTTTAGCTTTTAGTGCACTAAGCTGCAGTACTGGTTTTATTCCAAGCAGAATATTTTAGTGTTTTGCCCGGTTAAGTTTTTTTTAATATAAACGAACCTTACATTTCAGTTACTACAGGACAGCCTAGCTTTTAAAAAGAGACTCACACTTTTGACGACTGTCTTACTTAATGAAAAATGCTAGATGCTTTTTACTGATATTTAGTGCTAACACTAGATGGACCAAAGTAAGATTATTTCTATACTACATACACACATAGTTTCAAAACTCGCATATATCGATTGGGCTTTATTTTTAAGTATATTGTGTCTTCACTTGAACAGAGTATTTATACCTTGTGCTAATTTACTTCTTTCAGCTTTAACGGGCCACATTGTGCCAAGCTAACCCTAGAAGTCAGCTATGGTTATCTAGTTAGTCTGCAGTGTTAAGTTATCAGTGTTAATATTTAACACGAACTAATGTCTACTCATATCTTGAGTAAGTGAACATCTAAGCTTAATTTTGCAAAAAGCTGCTTCATCCGTCTCTAAAACTTGAACTGAATATAGTCCAAATATACTCGGAATTACTAACTTATCAGCACAAGTTATTAGGAATAAGGCACAGAAGCGCACACGAACACACTATATGCTTTGCATTCTTCTAGAAACACAGACAATGGCATCCATGCGGTTAAGGATTGCATCCAAGTGACAAAGCGTACAGTGCACAGAAAGAGGTCATGGCAGGCTGTAAACAGCTGTACATAATGTGTGTGAGAGAGTGATTCTGGAACATACCACCACAGGATCTGGCTCTGGCTTTCTGTTTCTTGGAGATAAAACTACATCTTTTCCATGTCCTCTTTTTTTTTTCATCTGTCTCTCTCTCTCTCTCTAGATCTCCTTTCCTCTCTCTCTTTCTCTATCTGTCTGTCTGCATAACCCTGCAGATATGTGAGGCGATGCACAGCGAATGAATTAGCAGAGCAGAGGCCTCAGACAGCCCTTTATGGAATAGACAGACAGGCAGGCAGAGTACATCACAGTGGAGAGAAGGGGGGTGGGGGGATGAGGCAGAAAATGAATGAAGGCAAACGGTAAGAGAGAGGTGGTCAGACACAGGAGCAAATGAGTGGAGATGAAAGGGGAGAATGGTGGAAGATATGCAAGAAAATGGGGGGAAGACTGGGAAAGCACTTCAAACGCGAAGGAGGAACGAGGAGGGAAGGGTGCAATAAACAGTGGGGGAGGGAAGAGAGAAAAGAGAGTGATGAGACTAGGAGGATGAGGACAGCAGAGAGATGCCGTGGAAGCCTTAGAGAATGTGCGATCTACGCGGGAGTATGGAGGGGGGCGCAGAGAGGGAGAAAAAGGAGTCGATGAGAAGGAGGTCATCAGCGGTCTGTTTCTGCCTGCATTTTGTCAGCCCCCTTCTGAAATATTCAGAGGAGAAACACATACGACGGGTGTGTTTCTGAACTGCCAGCGAACACAATGCAAGACGGGAGCACATGTCTAGCAGCATATTTAACAGTACGCGGAGCTCACAAGTGGTGAACAAGCCTCAGAAGGAAGAGGAGAGGCAGTTCCTGCACGACGCGCAACGCCCCTGCAGCATGCTCAACAGTGACACACAGTTAGGGTGCAAGAATGTTTATTCCAGCATCTGTCTTCATTTCAGAAGATTACGTGTAAAATGATGACAGTGATAATAACAGCATATTGAGAAAGATGACAATGGTGGTGATAGCCCTATTGAGGCCCGCTGCTGGTGATTATAATATAGATGTCAGCAACGATGATGAAAGATGCAGTAGCTAATACTGATGGTAATGGTACTGATGATAATGAGTAAAGAGGTCAAAGGGATTGTTACAAAGACACACTGAGGTGCGGATGCAAGCAGCAGAACTGAGAGAGCAGCAAGCAGGATGCAGCGGTGCAGCACAACCACAGGGTGGAAGGTTTCCTCTGTGTGTCTCTGAGACTCACATACATACACGCACACACACACAAACACACACACGCACACACAGAGAACATAAAACAATTTCTGTGTTACAAATCAAATGCCAGTCTTTGGATTGCACAATCACTTTGCAAATAAAAAGTCAAATCGACACACTATTTAACCCTCTAACGTGCAAATGGGGTCTGGCAAGCTTGTGCAGCCTTGTGATTTTGCAATCTCTGCTTAACTAAAGCTAATTATAGATTCCACTTTTAGTTGCTTAAAATAGACTGATGAAAAAAAAACATCAGCAAGTTTTTCAGGTGCGTGGAAATCTGTTGTAGAGACCAGCAGAGGAAATTTATCAGACTCGTTTCTGCAAATGAATAACTACAAGCATTTTTAGTCATTATCCCTTTAATTAGATATTAAAAAATCATTATCAACAAGCTACTTTATGAGCAATGGTTTTTTTTACTATGAACTGACCTCACTGGGATCTCTTAGATTGCAGCACTACATCAAAAGTGGGTTTTTTTGTAAAGTATAAAAATAAACGTAACCTGGCTCACTTGCATATCTAAGATGACATTTATATTTCTCTTTAAATTGTGGATTGCATCATGGCTTGTTATACAATTTTAATAACTTTCAGTAGTCAAGATTTGTTGGTTCAGCTTCCTGTGAAGGCTAGCGTTAACCCCTCATTGGGCAGGGAACCATGTATGCTAACATCAGAATTAGCCTCCCCATGCTTCTCTGTGAGGTTGTAGAACCACATGGCTTTCTCCCAGTTAAAAAGCAAAGATCTGAACAAACATGAGCCTGGAGTATTTCAAACTCAAAATGTGTTTTTATTTATTTTTTTTGCCTTTTACTATTCTTACACCCAGTTTATTTTTAGACATGCACCAGACGCATTCAGTAAGCCATAACACATAACTCTGGACAGTAGTGCTTAATAGTACACTGGATGTTGCCAAAGGTTGGTATAACAATATACAGTGATACAGTAAGAAGTTTACTTCACCCATAGACAGTCAAACAGTCAAATATGTGTGCGTTGTTAAGTTTTATGACCTTATAGCAGTTTTTATTATGCGTACTTATATTGCATATACTACTGTATATTTATGCTGTGAGACTTGGTACAGCTAAAATTGATTTAGTAATCCAATATTTGGGATTTATATAGTTTTGATGAAATTTTGTGTAGGAAAAAAATTAAGTGGTACCACTTAATGTTATATATTTACGATTTATATGTCAATATATTTTGTTTTCAGTGGATCTGCACTTTACTGCTACAGTTTCACTTCAAAGTGGGATATCAATACTGATTAAAAAAATCATCTTTTGCAACTGTGAGGATGTTGCTGTTCCAGACTACAGACTACCATGCCAGAGAATAGTTCAAGCTGTATTTGGATTTATACACATGCTTAATTCCGTGTTTATGAAAGAGCTTAAAGAGCTGCCACATTACAGCAGTTTCACCAAGTGCTATGAAACAGTTCCTGACTGGACAGGACTGCACTGTGTGCTATATTTCTGACAAGTGCGAGTATCAGTAAAGATAAATATTCCTAAATAATAATTATTTTGCCTTAAATGTGTGAGAAATATATATATATA